ATCTACTTTGTGTTGTGAGCAAACTGAACACTGCACTGATAAATCTTACCCCATGACAGTCCTTCCCCTTCTTGTGACAGTTTCTATGCTTGTGGCCTTGCTTGCGCTTGCGCCTGCGCCTGCATTTAGGCCCCTGTCCATGTCCACCACCTTGGCAACCATGTCCATGTCCTTGTCCATGTCCACCACCATGGCAACCATGTCCATGTCCATGTTCATGTCCGTGTCCATGGCTACCACCATGGCAGGGCCTCCTGTAATTAATCATAAATCAATATTTAGCGAATGTGATTATTACTTACATGATACACATTCAATACATTTGGAGGAAAAAGCAGCGAGTGTCATTCATACTTACGTCGTCCAGACATTTCCTACTGATCACCTGTAGGCCAATAAACAAGAAATAAAATTTAAAAAGACAGAGCTGGCAATTAACTTTACAAAACATATAGACAAGGCATGTTGAGGTGTAAAGTTTACAATTAAAAAATTATGCATTTATATATATATATATATATATATATATAGAGAGAGAGAGAGAGAGAGAGAGAGAGAGATCATCTGCCGAGTTTTCGATGTGAACTTACTGCTGGACTGCAGATCTACAGACGCAGTTGTGACCGTCTGCTCCTTTTTATGTGAAGCCACACCTGGTCCATCAGGGGCAGTGCCAGCACTCTGATCACAAACGATTTATTGTTTTGTGAGGGTACAGTGTGCATAATCTGTACCATGAGTACACACGCCTCGGTACACTATATGATTACTGCAACTAGCTGAAATAGTAATTACATGTTATATTATATTTTGTTGATAATGGTGTTGGGTACATTGCAAGAGTATCCCATATCTACAGCTAAGATGTGGTCTAACACACACACACACACACACACACACACACACACACATCAGTAGAACACCCACTGTGTTTCCTTGGTATTCTTTTGTTCTCTGCAGGTTGTTTGACGAGTCTGTTCGTTGGGAACATTTTCCTCGTAGTTAAGCGGCAGTTTGTTGATATCAAGGAACGTGAAAAGAAAAGTGATGACAGACTTGACTTCCACTCGTCACTTATTCACTCAGTTTTGAAGGTGTATCTTGTATTTGGCTCTGTGATGCTTCCCTGTGTTCATAATTCAATAAGAACAAATAAGGACAATAAAGTGAGCAATCATTAACAAATACTTTAAGTTTATCTTTATGTGAGCTTTACATAAACTCTCATAAAAAAAAGTTTGTGGTCATATTTGGCTTTGTCAAAACTTCAAGTGCCAAGTCTACAGTATATATGCAAACTGAGGGTCAGTATTTCAGGTCTCTGAATGTTGAATGTTCAGTGTTGGGGGAAGCTACTTTAAAAGCATAGTTTTGCAAGCTACCAGTTACTTCACACTTGAAGAAGGCTAGGGAGAAATCTAGTTTGTTTAATTAAAGCTACTTAGAAAGAAAGGTTCTAACATATGCATTGCCCGCGCATGTCTTCATAGCAGTAAGGATGAGAGAAAAGGGGGTTTGATTATGGTAGACAGGCAATGATAAAATGAAAATTCATTCATTTCCAATTATGGCCAAAAATTGTTGTATTTTCAGTAGTTAGCTACACAAAAATAGTAAAGAAGTCATCTAACTACTCGAATCACTGTGCAAATATGAATGTAACTTCCTGCAAGCTACAGCAAAATGTAGTTGAACTTCTACTAGTTTAATCACATGTAGTTCACTACTCGACAAAACTATGATTGTTGACTATTAAAATCGAGACAAAGTTATTTAAATAGCCAAATATCACAAATTTGCCTCAACAGGCTTTATGATCTGTACAATGTATGACACTATGTGTGTATCTCTGGAGGGTGTGGCTACTGCAGTCAAGCACCTGGCTGAACTTCACACCTTCAACACGTCTCCTCTTCATCAGCCTCTGTACAGAAACTCAGCCTTCACCTCTACTCTTTACCAGATTATTCCATCCGCTCCAGTGGTAGTTATAGTCAGCTGCTCTAAACTATTTATAGTTTGAGTATTGTCCTGTGTTATCAGTGAGGTTTTTCTACGTGATTCTTCCTAGTGATCAGATTCTGCCACTGTCTACTCCTCGTGTCTGCACTTTCCTACGACCAGTTCAGAGTGGACTCTGGAGGAAGAAGCCACTCTGCCTGCTCAGTGTGCCTGCCCTCTTACATTTTGCTTCAACCTGCCCATCTGCAGTCTCCACTGACTCTTCTGTCACCATTCAGCTAATAAACTCACTGAACTCTTAATCTGCCTTTTGAGCCTGCTTTTGGGTTCCACATACTTCAAACCTTAATATCAGGATGAGCATATGAGGAGGGATCCCTCTCCCTCTACATCCCTGCACAGAATAATTAATATAATAAAATTACAATACAGACGATCAAAATAATGTAAAAAAAAAATAAAAAATAAAAAAATAACATTTTCCTTTAAATTGTGAACAGTGATTAATTTGCATAACCAATGCCTCATGGGTGAATATTCAAGATATGTGGCTCAGCAGGGCCCGCTTGTTACTTGAGAATCTAATGTTACTGCTTTTGAGTTAGGACTTGAGTACCTGAGTCTTTAGGGAATAGAGTCTAAGGTCAAGGCTTTTAGGGAGTAACATCTTAAGTCAAGTGTCGAATCTTAGGGAGTCATGTCTCAAGTCAAGCCTTTGGGAGTAAAGTCTCTTTTTAATGTGAGTACAAATCTCAAGTGCACAACTGTGGCAAATAACAATATAACACCTGTTGTTTTTGGAATATTTGAATATGTGTGTTTAATTTTATCTTGATATTCAATTCTAACTATTGTTGTACATACCAGTCTTAAAAGTGCTGGAGAAAATCAGTCATTGTGTCTCTCAGGTAACAAACATTGGGAAATCACCCGAGTTGTCATTCAGAGGAGGACGTGTGAAAAAGCTGGGGCGGGTGAATTAAAACCAGCTTTCTTATCAAGATATGGTCACGCTTAAGACTCTGAACAAACAGGAGGTACTGGCTTAACCAGTTGTCTTCTTTTGTCATCAGTCAGGATTTAATCACTGCAGTGACAGAAAAGAAAACACGTGTGCTTTTGCAGTCACCTGTCACTGCACCTCAGCTGCACAAATAAGCACACCCCCATGATATTTGAAGACTCTTATATGTAATTATGCATTGAGAACATTTGCACACACACCTTTTGAACAATAAAATATTTTAAAACATTCCTCACAACCACACCTTCAACTCCACTTCAAAAAGTCACGTCTGTCAGGTCAGCAATAGAGGTCAAAGGCCAAAAACGGGAGCTTTGGTAACTAATTTAACTCGACAAAAGAAATCAGGGGATAATCAGTAGCAGAGAGCCCAACCCTGTATACAGTATAATCTGTGACCTGCTATGAGAGTTTGCAGTATGACTGATTCATGGCAATAATCTATATAGTATTTTTTCCAGAGCAGAGGTGACAAAATGTACACACTCTGCCGCTAAAGATTACAAAAGTAGACTGAGATTGCAGGTTTGAATCGTCTCTGCTTCTTTCTATCCAGCAGCTGCTGGAACGTACACTCGAGCAAACTCAAGCTAACAGCAAAACTGATACCCACGGAGTGGTAGGTGGTGCAAGGCGCTGCTGAAAAAATGTGTCTGCTCTGCCAACTTCCTCACTCTGCATAAAGGTTAAAACACCATGTGACATCAGTTTTTATATGCTGGTGTTATGCTGTAAATGTAGTCAACATGTTCAATCTGTGAAGGCCTCTGTTTTGCAGGCAATACACTGTCACACAAAACTAACATTTGATCTTATAGGTACAATTATAAATTTTGATTGATTAGCACTATTTGTTGCAGGGGGGGGGGGCATAAAGGGGGGCGGGAACTTTCTGGGGCCCAGCTGCTAAGGGGGGGCAATGGGGGCCAGCAAAATAATGTTCATCCCAAATTAAAGCAATGATAACCACATTTTTACTTGAACCAAAATGTTCACAATTACTTATAAAAGCCACAGTTGGTAACTTATACAAATAACTTTTGTCAGGTTCCTTCTCTCACTCGTGCTTCATTTGTTAGCATCCACCGTGGCTCACAGAAAACAACCAATCGGAGCTGAGGAGTGTCGAAAGTAGCCGTCAATCATGTCAATCTCTGCTCATAAACTATGATCATACTGTCAAACTAGGCAGCACTGATCAGATATTAATCAAGATTCTGTCACTGCATTGTCTATTTCTCTCCTCAATTGCTGTCTAACTGTTTCCAACATGGCGGTCAGACCAACTTTCTCATTTTACAGCTAAACAGTACACTAAAATATGTTCATGAAAATATTTGAGATGAGAAATAGGCAATGCAGCAACAACAAAATTGATTCATAGTTGATCAGTGCTGCCTAGTTTGACAGTTTGACCGAAGTTCACGAGCAGTGACTGACAGCTGTGTTAGAGATTCCTCGGCTCTGATTGGTTGTTTTCATTCAAGTGTGGAAAGGCCATTTGAAGCACTATGAGGCAATAAAGCAGGCAGAGTAAAAATATTTGTTTTTCATAGACCATCTTTCTTAAACTGCTGTGTGAATAGTGACAGCAACAAAAATAAACATTGTATTTATTGTTGGCTTAGTAAACTGTAGCCTTTTTCATGATGAAATCCTCCTTTCCTGGAAATGGTACGAGTCATTGTTGTTGTTGTTGTTGTATGCAACTGTTGTGGAAAAAAAGGTGGGTGAGAGAGAGAGAGAGAGAGAGAGAGAGAGAGAGAGAGAGAGAGAGAGAGAGAGAGAGAGAGAGAGAGAGAGAGAGAGAGAGAGATGTAGGTGGAAAGCAGGTTTGGGCAGGGCCCATTCACTGGACCTTTTCATGGGCCCTTATCTGTTGCGAGGAATTATTTTTCTAAATAGAGGAACTGCTCTAATTCCCATTCAGCATGTGCTCTGTTAGACATGTGGCAGAGCATAAACCAATGTGAAACAAGCCAGGTACAAGTACATTCATATAAGACAAATCCAGTTGATACCATAGAAAAATGGTTTATTCTAAATGCTAATGGTATGAATGGGCAGATATATAAAGCAACATGGACATAAATGTTGTGATATACTTTATAAAGCAGAAAACATTGACTGGGCGTCTCTGATAGCAGCACGTTATCATGGTTTGAGGGAGTAGCTCTGATGGATGAGCCGTCCTGGAATGTCAACACAGAAAGTTATTCAAAGAATGAAATGTGTTACTTTATCTAATGTACTCGACTGAATACATAGCTGACGTGTTCAAAAGTCTGTGAAGGGCTACACATGGAAATTGTGTGGAAGTAACAGAAAGTCACTTTCTACTGATTGTCTGAACTTTGCATCTGTTGTTGAACTTTGCATTTGTTGTAAACATTGTGTTTCTTCATCCTGGCACATAGTCTGATGAACATTTTATAAGTCTTCACAGCTTGATCTTCCCAGCCAATGGACTGCTGGGGTAAAGTGTTGAGAAGCGACCGAGGGTCCAGATTGTGAAGACATTTCTGTAGGATGTGTAGCTGATAGCACAGCTCTTGTTGAACACACCGGCAATATTCTCCTGAACAGGTGAGGAACATCACATATAAAAACACACATTAAATCTTTCACTGTCATTAGATTCATTTGATATATGTTGTCTTATTGGCCACGTAAACTAAGTATAATTAGAGTATAGGACATGTAATTAATACGATATATAGGACTCAGAGACTCACCTGTGGCCAGTCTCCATTGGGCAGCTGGTTGTCAATTAACAGCTGAATTCCTCTCTCAATGGCCCACCTGTCAGGATGCCTGGTTTTATACACAAGGGACTTGACTGAATAATTTTGTTTGGATTCAAATTGTTTAAATTAAGTTTTACTCATAACAATCAGAAGATCCTTTTGTAGTCAGGTGAATAAACAGTACACATTAAACAGCACAGTATGCATGCAATCACATGCTACAATAAATAAATAAAATAGATAGATAACAAATAACTAAAATCAACAGCAGAGCTTTACTCTGTCTGAAAACAATCCAAAACCTGTGCAAATTTGTCAAACCTGATCCAATCAGTATATCCAGTTGCATTGTGATCCAGCATAAACAAAGAGCCTTTGAATTTAGCACTGCTTACCTGACAGCCATGAGGCCTAACAACGCCCAACAGGTGTTGTGGATCTGAGCGCTGCTGCTCTGGATGTAGCTCCGCTGCTCACACGACTCAAAGTCCTCCCCCCAGCCTCCGTCTGGCATCTGCCGCTCCAGCAGGAACTGACAGGCTTTCTGCACCTCCACACAGGCATCCCTGGTTAACAGAGGCAGAGTGTAATTAAGTATGCAGGTGATGAGTTCATGGATATCCTGTGTAGCCTGGCAAGATAAGGAGCACACTATTATGGATCAAATATGATGCTCATGGTTCAGAGTAAAACTTCTGTGATCAGTGTTTGGAATGCTTACTCATCCTCATAGACGTGACCCATACATGCAAAGGCTTCAAGGCCAAACCATATTCCATATGTGAAGCACACTCCCCAGGACCTGAGCACAAACACAAAAGGATTATTTTTTAATAGGCATGACCTGCAGGATGTCAGGTGGTACAACAGCAAGTGCAGTCTCACCCCTCCCATGATCCGTCAGGTCTTTGCACCTTCCTGCAGTACTCCAGTCCTTCTTTTAGAGTGGACCTGAAAAAGAAATCAACATATAAACAGAAAACCTCTGCCTCTTTACTTCCGAAATTTAACGAGAACTACAAACTTCTTTAGGTACGAATGTCTTTGTGGGTCAGTGGTTTTTTTTTCCTCCCCTTTTTCTTTTTTGGTAATCTCTTTGCCATCATGTCATTTTAAAGCAATTTCACACTTAGAGGTCCAGAGTGTAGGTTTTAGGCGGATATATTTGCAGAAATGGAATACAATATAATATAATATGTATGTTCTCTTTATTGTATAATCACCTGAAAATATAAATTGTTGTGTTTTTGTTACTCTAGAATGAACTGTTTATATCTACATAGGATGCAGGCCCTCATCCTTGGAGTTCAATATGATGCATGCATGTTTATACAGTAGCCCAAAACAGAAACCAAACACTGACTCTGGATAGGTATTTGCGTTTTCACCTGGGCCACTATAGTAAGCAGCTCCTCAGCGATGAGCTGAGCAGCATGGAAAAACACTTTATGTGAAACAGCTTTATTTAGTATTTTTACTGGGTCTGTTTGTTTTGCAGAGGAAGAGACCTCTGCGGTTAATTTGGCTTCTGGAAAAAAACCTCCTGAACAATGAATACAGAAGGAATTACAAGCAGGAGTTCACGCTTAGCACATGGGAGACTTTTCAGCTGGTTGAAATCCGCAAGCCTCACTGCTATATGCCACTAGACCCTACACACTGCTGGTTTAAGTTATAAAACAAAACAGGATGACAACAAATATGATTTTAATACATGCGGTTAAAGCTAGTTTAGCTTGAAATTAGCTTTGTTGAGGGTTATATAGTATACCTTATCTCCTCAGTCCGGTGTTCAGGATAGGCCTTCTGGAAGTGCTTCAGAGCTTGCATTACTGCTGACGTACACTCCACATAGGTATAATCAATCATAATGTCACCTGTGTGTGGTAAGTGTGAGAGAGAGACAGAGAAAGAGAGAGAGAGAGAGAGCACTTGGTGTTACTAATAAACATCACATTTAACAACACTTACCGCATCCTCTTTTTAGCAGGGAAACATGACGATGTATTTGACCTTCAATATTGAAAAGATCATCCTATTGCAACATATCCAGAGTGTAATGGAAACAGATTTCCAGCCTTTCAATGTTGAAAGGGAACAGAAATGCCATGTTTATATTTGGCGCTTTGTTTCCCTTTTTCACATCTGCATATTTGCAGGTTGAGTATTACTGGCAGCGTGGGCATAACTGAGCAGTGAACTGAGCTCCATCATGCACCAACTTGCATCATGCATCATGACATAAACATTTCCGTGATCCCAAGAAATCAATTCAATGACCTTTTACGTCATGCTTTTCTGTTAATTGTTAGCCATGGACTTACAATTAAATATAATTGCCATCATTTTGTGTAATAACTTACAGTAGATTACAAGTAATGTTGTAAGACCGAACATATCAGGCAGTGCAGTGCATAAAATGAGTCCTGACAGCATGGTGTTGGCAACAGACTTACCAAACACCTCTGAGGGGTTGAGCAGCTCCAGGAGTCTTCCTCCTCTCTTAGTTTCATACGTAGCAAATCCACCATCAGCGTTTCTCATGCTCAGCAGCTACAAGGAGAAGATATACACCTGGTGAAGGAGCTGTAATACCGAAAGGCTAGAGTTGATTTTTTTTTCAGTAGCACATGTGTACAAGAAGGACTGTAGTCTCACTTTGGACCGCAGTATGATTTTGATTTGTGTATGAATTAATCAAACTAATTTTAACATATAAATGAATATGCTGTAATGATGCTAGTGGGCGAATTTTTGGACAGCTGTTGTTTCCAGTTTTTGTGCTAAGATAAGTTACAGCTTCACATTTATGGGCAGATATGAGAGCGTTATCAATCATCTTTTCAATCATCATCTCTTAAGAAACTGCATAAATTTCCTAAAATACTGAACAATTCCTTTAAACCAGTGTAATCAAGATATAACTTCTGGAGCTTTTAATTTAAGATTCATTTGGAAAAGATGACAATTAGTCTTACATTTATTTATTCACTGCAGACTCACCACATTGACTGCGTCATACAGGCGCTCTGAGCTGACATGCTGGCTGATAGAGGGACATAGCTCCTGCAGCAGCATCACTGACTTCAGGCCCTCCGCTGTGCAGTCAGCTACAATCCAACCACAGTCGCGGGTACTGAAGGGGAATCCTCCCTAACAAAAAAGAACACAGGGATAAAAAGTGCATGAACAAACACATACATGCCAGCAGGCTAAAAGCATACTTTTCAGAGGTCATTTCTCCCCTCCTTTTCAAAGGCATTTAAGGCTTCTATTTTAAAATCATTTGAAAAGTGTCTCTTGTGTAATATTAGTTTTACCTTGTTCATCTGTCTGTAGTACTTCTGGTACTCCGGAGGATTCTCAGGTATCTGTTAGAGTGGAAAAACTAGTCATGGGTATGAAATCCCTTTCAAAAATGCAGTTCATGTTACGCTGTTTGTATCTTTGGCACATCTGTCTTTTGTTAGTGAAACACTCAAGCTTAAATAAGCACTGCCAAACACTTTACACCAGTACAATAATAAGATATGTGTTTTATTTCTGGCTCGATAATGAAAACTGTGATGTTGGTGGTACCTGTGTGATGGTGAGAAACCGATGGGCATCTCGGAGGCAGTCAGCTAGTATGGAGTTATCCTGGGCTCCTGCCTGATAGACCCAAACAGTCAACTTATTATAATCAGCTACTGCTATCTGATGCACTACAGTACTCAAACAGTTACTCTCAAGGTGACCAAATATCTACGAGTAAATGTTAAAAATGGTGACTCTTGTCTTTTAGTAATATTAGATTTGAACGCAGAGTTCACACAGTTGAGAAGTGGCTAGGACTTTCTGGGAGTAATCTATGAAAGTTGACATGGTGTGACACGGATTCATATAATACACTATCCATATAGTACCATATTATCTTAATTGCTCTGATAACACAGTTACACCTATCCTTTTCCCCTGGAGGCCTAAACCAATAGTTAGTTTGATATTTTGAGAAATACGTTTATTTTCATAGAAGGGTGATACCACTCTCATGTTGTGTACAGTAAATATGAAGCTATCTGCAGCGCACGTCTTGGTCCAAGGATAACACCTGCCCACCAGCACCTCTAACATTACCTTGTTGTATCTTGTTTCTTTAATCTGCAGAAAATCCGAAGTGTAAAAACAACATTTCACAATTTTACAGGGGATTGTGTGTCATGTTAATGAATGATTTTTAGAGGTGACAGCGGGCATTTTCTTTTTTTGTTACCTTCGGACAGACCCGGGTTAGCTGTTTTCCCTTGCTTCCAGTTTTTGTGCTAAGCTAAACTAACAATTATCCAGCTGTAATTTTACATTAACTCTACAGCTAATGTAATGAGCTGCCCTGCTTTGTTTGATTTATTATTTATTCATTATTCATTTATTCTCCTCTTGTTTCAGATCATTTCACCTTCTGACCTTGTGTGTTTTCCCACCAGTTGTGCTCGTCTGCCCCACCTCGATAAGTATTACCTATTCCCCACTAGCCCTGGAGTCACCTTAGCTCCTTTTCACCTGTTCTCACCCCCTCAATTAGTCATTTTCCACTTATACCAGCCCAGTTCCTTTGTCTTGGTTGCTGTTTGGAGTTTATGTTTGCCTGCCATCTAACTCCCAAGAAGAAAGTGAATAAGCATATTTCCCAAAATCTAGCCCATTATATCACTGGTTGAATCTTTTCATTGATGCTAAAACTCTGCAGCAAGAAAAGTTACCCTCATTCTCCCTGGAAAGTACCACATAGGTTGGAAATCTAATGATATTCTTGTTTCTGAACTTAGCTACTTCACCAACATGACACAAACTACCTTTTATCATCAAAAATCATCCAAATTGTTTTGTCTTTGACTGATGCAAAAAAACTCTATGCATATACAGTATCTCCCATTGGTTGGACTATTGCAATGCCCTCCTCACTTATCTGCCTAAAAAGACTGTGGGCTATTGAAACACCTGTTCTTAGATCTTTATAACATATGCCTGCTTGCTCGCTTGCATTGACAACACTGAAACTATGAGTGGCCATTTTGTCTTACCTCAAGGAAAGCCTGTACAGCAAAGCATGTATCCCAGAGTTGAGATCCATTGGTCCCCTGTGCACAACAAAAAGGCTGAAGTGGTCAAACACTCAGATGAAGTTAAACTGGAACTCACTTAGGGCACTGAAATGTACTGCATGACAAAATACAGAGTCTGGAACCAGCAGGTAGACTAAAAGAAGAATTTAGTTTTAAGGTACTTTAAAGTCTTATTTATCACATTGAAGCAGCTTGTCTGCAGCTTTACCATCTTCGTTTATAGTTCAAAAGCAGTGTTTCTACTCAGAGCTCCTTCTAGGTATCTGAGCTCCTCAACCATTCCTAAATGTGAGACTTATGATTTAACCTTGAGCAGCTTTGAAACTACTACATATGTACAACTGTGCACTGTCACTAGACATACAAAAAGGGCAGAAAACAAATTCTCACCTGCATTTTCATACCATCTAATCCCAACCTAGAACACAGAGAACATTATACATTAAATATCAGAATATCCTGCACAAATACTTCACATAAGTTCTTCTTGAACCCCTAATTCTGATCAGTGATGTAACATACGATTGTTTTATAAATATGTCGTTAGAGATGGGCTGACTGACCAGAGGTAGTCTGGGATCCTGGACACGTGCTCCTGAAAGACTGGAGAGGAGGGACCATCCACATACCAGCGAACCAGCATGTTGATGGTCTTGGAGATCTGAGGAAAAAGGCAAATGCTTCATGCTCACAGCCTCTATTTTATATACACTGTCAGTTTGAAGTAAAGTTTGTGAAATCCTCTGGAAATAAGTTGAAGTGTTTTTCTTTATACTGTGTCAAGCATACACAAATCTAATACTGCACTCAATCTGTCACCGCTGTTTTGATATCTGTGTTGTCTGTATCTGTGTTTACCCTACCGGTCCAATGCTGATGCATTTGGTGAAGCGGTCGTCAGCCTGGATGTGTTCATACAGTTCTTTGACAGCCTTTTCTCTCAGTGTGGTGCTGTGGTGGGCTTCGTACACATTCAGCACCCCTGCAGGGCAACAGGAACAGAGTCACAGGGTGAGGGGAGGGATTTACACAGCAACTTTTAGGGAAATTCCAATGAAACACTTTTTTGTTCTCATTTTTTTAATCATTGCAAAAAGACCATCCTGTTGCCAGGGATAGGCCTAAAGTTTTCTGGCATGTATTGAGTCTCACTTGGGTGCACTGTGTATGTGCAATGTGCAAAATGTGCCATCATCTTTATGGTCAAAAGTGTTGAATCACAATTACAAACTGTTGTCGTAATTACACAAAACATTTCCTATGACTTGTCCTCACATGCTGCCTGGTTTCCACTAACATGCAGGCTGTAGAAGGTGGTTTGTCATCGCAGTGCACAGTGTGTGGTGCATGCTTACTGTAGGCGATGGTGAGCAGCGTGCTGTGGGGTGTGTACATGTCACATGCTGCCACATTGTTCCTCTGTGCGGGCCAGTTGATGGTGGCATAGTCCTGGACATAAAGCTCCTAGAAAACAAACAGCAAGACAACACTCAGTCATGCATATATATAAACATATTGTACATATTTAATAAGGATATTAATTTATTAATTTCAATTGATCCTCTTTATCTTAGCTTAACGATGAAGTGGTTCATATTTCATTTCAGTCCAAGGCTGTCAAAATAGAAGAGAAACTGCACTGGGCTGTTCCCTCTGCATAGTTAAAGATGGATCACAGAAAAGAAAGATTCCCTGCATACTCCTCCACTGATATGCAGACAGGATAAGAAATTAAAAACCTGTATGCAGGGGCTTCTATAGGGCATGAAGGATCACTGAATGGCTTGATAAGTATGTAAATGATATGAATCAGATGCTATGACCTCCACATTCACCAGATTTTAACCAAGTTGAACAACTATGGGAGATTCTGGAGTGACCAGCCAAAATACCAATGGGTGATTCCTCAGTAGATGTGTCCATTATTTTATACATAGTATGGTTTAATATCATTGCAAATCAAACATCTTTGGTATTGGGCTACTTGTTGGACAAAAAAGTTACCTCATAATATCAAAAAATATCATCTACATTTAGCTTTAGAAATTAAACACACAACAAACAACAAATTACACCTAGGAATGCAAAGTACACTGCCAAAGCCTCTTCTCTAACTGTTTTTAAATTTTGAGCATATCACACCCCCCTGTGGGCTGAGATGGTTTCAGCACCTGTCTGAGGCTGAGGACCAGAGAGTCTTCCTCTGCAGCCAGTCTCACAGCATAACAGTAACTCATGGGGAGGTAGACCTGGCGACAGTGACACCACAGGGTGGAGGGGTGGGCTGGCATCCAAGTGGGGAACAGCCTGGAACAGACAAAATACATCTATTATGTCTGAACTGATACACAGGTAAAATCCTTCCTCCTCTTTGTGGCCCAGTGGCAAAGACAACATCCCATGAACAGCCTTGATGTGATACTTTGCTGTGCTATGACACAAGCTGAAAAAATGAAAACAGCAATGATTTCACATATTCTCAGTTTATTACAACTTTTAAATTTTCTGTTCTAAGACCAAATGCCTTGTCTTTGTCATGGAAAACATTTGGTGCACAAGGCAGTGATATCATGTACATTTTCAGTTGCAGCAACAGCAGCTGTTTATTTATTGATGCCATGTTACCACCACCTACAAGAACTTTATCTGAGAAACACCCATGTTAACAAAAAGCAGACAGACAAAAGATGGTAGCACCACCTACAGTTAGGAGATCATGACACATATTAACACCCATTATCCTCAAACAATGTACTATGCACATAAAAAACACATCCTAAATAAAGTGATGTAGGTGATACAGAAAAAAAATGTAATACATATTTTTTGTCCTTTTTTCTGCAATATGCTTTTTTCTAATGTGGAAAAAAATCTACACATTGTAGATTACACAGGAGAAGAAACAAATCCAAGTACTAGGGGGAGACACACCATTAAACTTGGGGTAAAGGACATCCCATTATCACATAAATAAAAAAAGTCTCCTACAGGTGAATATATATACATAGAACACTGCACCATCGCTTTATTTTCAACCAGGTCTGTGTCACTGTGGTGTGAAGACTGTGTGCAAATAAACAGTATTTGGCTCCTCTTGCCTATGCGGCGCGCAAAAATCGGGCAGATGACGCAAAATGTGTCAACCTCTCCTTTTCCTAGATAGCATGAGCAGCAATAGCCACTATGGCTGAACAAACAAAGACAAGAGCACCACTTACAGAAGTTTTGTCAACAGAAAATGCAAGAAAAGAAAGACATAACTTGCATTTTTATGTCAAGATGACATGAAAGTTTGAAAGTAACACCATTTTTGTACTGGGGCAATATAACAGTACTCCAACCTTGGCTAAGATACTTAAGCTTTTTCAGTGTACTGAAAACATGACTGATTGGTGGAAGAGGAGGATCACAGGATGTTAGAACTTACCACATCTCTGGTAACAGTGTGTTCATTCCCTCCCAACTGTAGACATTTAAAATGGCCAACCAGAATTTACCCCATGAGGGAATCCCCACGGCACCACCTGTACAAAATAAACAGCTTTAGTATGAAGTAACTGACATGGTGATTACTATAAGCATGGACTACAGCTCAAATTGAATAATATGCCTTCACTGAACACAAAGCAGTAACATATTTCCAATTAAAAAAAACTGTTTTTCACATTTGGACATTTTTGGGATGGCAGTGTGTTTGTATCGAGGGCGGCAGTAGCTCAGCCCATAGCGACCTGGCTTGGGAACCAGAGGGTCACCAGCTCAGGTTCTTGTGTGGACCAAATATGGAGCGTGGACTGGTAGCTGGAGAGAAGCCAGTTTGCCTCCTGGGCACCGCCGCATTGCCCTTGAGGAGGGCACTGAACCCCTTCATATAATACCTATTTACTGTATGTATAGGTCTTGTTTGTGCATATGTGTGTTGTAGCCCTGTGTGTATATGACAATAGAATGAAAAAAAGGGAATTTCCCTTCGGGGAATAATAAAGTATATTTTCTTTTTCTTCTACCTGAGTGTCATCAGTACAGACAGATAATCAGTTATCAGAGTTGACTGTAAGTATTAAGTATTGTGTGACTGATCTCTTTCCCACCTTTGCTGTGCAGGTTGTTCCTGGCTCGAACCATATCTGGATCATCAGGCTCTACTCCCAGGATCCTTAATGAGGTGTAACTCAGCGCTGTGCCAAAGACTGTAGACTTATCTTCAATATGTCTGACGAAAAACAAAACCCATCCATGATGCTGCCATGAGCTATATTTCAGACAGTCTGACCCTGTATGTTTTTAGATGTTTCACCTGCAATTATTCTGAAGGGGTGGGGATGAATGGACACATCTATTAAATACTAAACCAGTCTTCCTTAATTATCAATTCAGTGACAAGTTATATGAAGACGCTTGCATCATAGTTTTACATTTCACTAAAAATAATTACTTTACAATTTCTGTACTAGGATAAGAAAAGTATGCTTGCACTTTTAAAGGTTTGCTAAAGCGATACTAGGCAAAGTGTACATCTTCCTTGCCTGTTACAGTGTCCTTACGCATGAAACCATCTTACAGTAGAAGTACATCAGTGATTTGGCATGTGTGGACGTCACAAGAGAAAAAAAGTGTGCTGCTGACTTACAGACCCCAGCCTCCATCTGGCAGCTGCACAGAACGCAGGTACCTCACCATCTCTTTCTTCCAAGCTTCGGCCAGAGGGATCTTAGCCACATGGCATGTGATCAGGAGACCTGAAGAAAAGAAATGGACACCCATACAATGACAGAGAGACATACACGCACATACACAAAAACATCAGTCATGAAATTCTCTGCTAAATCATGTTTAGTGTAACAACTCCGCCTGCACATCCTCCTTTCACCATTAGTTGTTACGCATCACACAGAGGTAATTTCTTTTTCAAAATCTTCTCTATCATTTTCAGAAATCATGTCACCTGATGTAATTAAAACGGTGTCTGCCACAGTGTCTTTTAAAATATCACCAGACCAAAAACAACACATAGTGGCTTTAAATTAAATCAGTCTTTTACACAGAAAATTCAAAGACAGCAAATGCAGATTACAGGAGTCATATGAGGACACGGAGGAGGATGATTTATTTTACCTGGGAGCAGAAAGAGAGGTCCACCGTAGTCCCCTGCCCAGTGACCATCTTCAGCCTGCAGGTGGCTATAGAAGTGCATACCTTTCAGAGCTGCATCTACAGCTGTGCGGGCAGCTGTGGAGCCAGACACATACTTACTCTGTGAAGAGAGTTGGTGATAAGAAACAAACATCAGGGATCTAGTAGAAACTTTGGTTACCATTAACAGATACAGCTAAAAGTTTATATTCTATCTACCACAGTTTTCTTACATAAGAATAATGGAGCAACAGAGAGCCAAACTTATGAAAAACAAAAACAGACTCAAACCCTACAGTGTCCAAGCCTAGAGAATGAGCTTCCAGCATCGTCTGTTCTCTGTCTGGGGTGTCCTGGTCTTCCACATAGCGCCAGGTCTGCCTGCCTTCCACATTAGCCAGCCTCCAGCGGCCCAGGTCTGTGGCTGGCTCAGTCTTATACGGGCCCCCTCGCCTCCGCAGGTGCCTAAAGAACAGCAAGTGTTTTCACATTTAATCTGACTATTTAGTATACTACTGTACTCTTGCACTTAATCATATACAGTATTTCATAAATAATGCAAGGTTTTATAAAAGTCTTACAAAATAGTTATAATTACTCAGCTGGTCAGCAGTGAAAACAATAATTTAGTCGTTAATACATGTGTTGTTGTTGTTTTTCTCTGTGTTCAAAACCCCCCACTTATCATGTTTAACACACAATTAGAAACAGTGTCTATAAGTGATGGAAATATAAATATAAGTTTAAAGGCAGCATTTTTTTTCCGCGAAAAAATAAGTTTAAACTCTTTGCTATTCATTCACAGGGGATGCAGAAATAACCTGAAAACCTACACAATATTATAACACCATACGTTTGTGAGATTCACAAATGATCCTGTATTGTTTGCAGTGTCTCAGGTGCTGATTTTTCTTGTATTTGTCTTGTATCTTTATCCATTTTGTATTTGCATATAGATTCCCCATCCATTTCAATAGTCATAAATGTTACGGTGGTGTACATTTGGAAGTCCACTGGTGAAAAAAATGTGGGTTGTTCTCTCAGGATAAGCTACCAGTGGAATAAAATTACTTTAAAATAAGGCATTTGATTCTGTCAGAGTAAAAAAGGTATTTAACTTGATTGAATGATTGTCTTGATTGTAAGTATATTTATACAGTTATGGAAAAATATGTCAGATGTTTATAAGTGACAGTAGTAATAGCATAATGTACAAAACACAAATTTTTACTAAGGTAGAACTACAAACGTATTATTAACAAAATATACTTGCAGTACGAAAAGTTAGGGTACTTGTTTTGGAGCAGAACTGCTCCTGCCAGTATTACACTTAGCAAAAATTTTGATTACACACTTTGGGTTTTGCTCCCATTTTTCACAGTAATGTGGCAGTACATCCAACCAGCCTCACAACATGTAGCTAACCACACCAGCCCAGGACCTTCACATTTAGCATCTTCACTTGCAAGATCATCTGAGACCAGCCACCTAAACAGCTGATGCAACGACGAAGAATTTCTGCATAAACCTTCAGAAACCATCTCAGGGAAGATCATCTGCATGCTTGTTGTCCTCACCAGGGTCCTGACAGAAATTTGTCATTGCAACTGAAATGTGCAGCTGAGAGGCTGATTGGATGCACTGCCAAATTCATGGAAACAGCACTGGAGACAGTTTATGGTCGTGAAATGTACATTCAGTTCACAGGCAACAGGTCTGGTGGACATTCCTGCAGTCAGCATGCCAATGGCACACTCCCTCAAAATGTGTGACAATCTGTGTGATTGTGCTGTGTGATCAAACTGTACATTTTCAGAGTCGCCTTTAATGGTGACCATCCCAAGGCACACCTGTGTAGTAATTATACCGTTTAATCAGCATATTGATATATGCCACACCAGTCAGGTGGATGGATCGTCTTGACAAACAAGTGCTCACTAGAATTTGAAAATTTAACAAATTTGTGACCAACATTTGAAAGATATAAATCTATTGAGTGCATAAAAAATTCTTAGATCTTTGACTTAAACCTGTGAAAAATGGTAGCTAAAACAAAGCGCTGAGTTTAAATTTTTTGTCAGTATATATTATTCTACAATACATCATTTGATTGTATTCACTGATGCAGATATTCAATTTTGTAGCTGACTAGTTAGGGTTCTTAAAACTATAACAATGTATCATATAACTATATAAACTATATCATAGAACTGAACATAGGTTTGTTATATGAAATTTAAATCTATGAAGTAACTAAAGCAGTCACATAAGCTGGTGGTAAGAAGAAGGTTAAAGTAGCATAAATTGGAAGCAATCAAAACGTAGGTATTGTCCACTAAAATAAAAGTGATATATGCAGTAAATTATTCTACTAGCTGAAAGAAAAAACAAATGTATATAACAGGTTGTCGTTCACTCTCATAGGCATTTTCCTCGTGGCAGAGTGCCCTACCTTTCTACATGGCCATTTTTAAAGACCCTCAAATTGTCAGAACAGTGCCAAAATCACAGGAGTACAACATTTGACACGGTTTAACGATTTAGTTCAGTAATAAAAAGCCTACATGTTCTGTCAAACTTTTGTCGAAATGTAATAACCTTTAACATCATCATTTCGGATAAGAAACGCTTAAAGCAAGCACTTCGCGACGTAAGACAAACATACTTACGTTCCCTCCGTCATACTTGTACTTTACAGATAGACTTGAATCCTCCGCTGAACCATATCAATAAACTTCTTTTCAGGTGCTACGAAAGCTCTGCCCCTTCTGCTCTTTTCATGGGAATTGTAGTACTTTGATGAGAAGATAGGTCACTGTTCGGTAGTTTACACTCCATTTCCCAGAGGACCTCGCGGTGCCGTCCGAGGTGTTCTCCACATGGAGAGACATGAGCAGAGACCCGTCTGTCCAATCACAAAAGGGCTGGGTGGGGAAGAGGGGGGGGCCTGCTGTGAGCTCCTCCAATCAGAACGCTCCTACGACAAGTACTACCCATGTGCTCACACACTGATATAGATGATGGTATGCTTCAGCCAAACAAATGAATGACAACTGGGCTAAATAGAAAGTTTACTTGAAAAATAACACTTTTATTCTATAGATAGCTATTAGCTGGTTTTACAAACACCATCCATGTAATTTAAAATGTGTTCAACACAATTAGGAAGAGCAGCTTTTTCAGAGATTTAGCGCACTTTGAGAAAAAAACATCTCATTGGGTTTGTCAACGCAGTGACAGACACTGTACACACATTTTCAAATTATAAATGCAAAATCTATGGTACAAAATTAAACCAAAAGTAGACATTAAGACAAACAAAAAAAGACATAACGCACACACTGTTGTGAACAGTAAATCTGACCACAACAGACTATAGAATAAAAGACTCAGTATGCCAGTGTAATGAGTTTAGCAATAAAAAAAGAAAAGAAAAAGGAAGTAAAAGTAGTCTCTTGCTGCAGGCAGAAGGTTTTTTTTGCTCTCAGTTTTCATATACTTGCATAGTCACAGAGTCATTTATTTTGGTGTTTAGGTTCAGTTCATCAGTCATCAACAATGCTCAGGAGACCACTCAGCTTCAGTCTACAGGCCAGTTCTTCCTCATGACTCGCCAAAATCTGTCGCTCGAGTTCCTTTAGTTGCCATGCCATAGATACAGGCGTGGTTTTAGGCCCATCTGCTTTGGCTGAAAGATCATCAGGCTCTGGCTCCTGAAAAGTCAAAACAATGACAATGCATGACTACTGCAATTCACAATTGCAACATTTAGAATATAATACTGATGAATCTCTTTATTTGCAGCCACATATAATACACTATCATCTAAGACATGTACACTGTTGCGATCACCCAGAATGACTGTTTGAAAAAGGAAATAACTTGTCCCAGGATCACTGGGTGAGGTGAGGGGACATGTCATACCTGTGTGAGAGCTTTGGCTGTGGGTGTATGTGTTATGGTTGTGGGCATGGACAGCAGAGTGGAGGATGGAATGAAAAGCGGTGTGGACAAGTGGTCGAGGGGGTCACCATCCAGCCAGCGCTGAAGCTGCTCCATGCTCCTGTAGAAGGGTGTTAGACAAGGTACAAGTGTGTGTGGTAGACAAGATACACACATATGGTAGATGATGTTTGTCAAATAATAAACGCAAAGGAGTGTCAAAATCCTTTTTGTGTGTTTTCAATAAACAACCAAAGACTAGACCTTTTTATCCATTTTTTGATTATCATTTTTTTATTCATGTACACCTTCTCTTTTAAATGGCTTATTCTATCAACATAAAATCTAGATGCAATAAAAACTTTTAAAAGCAGTGCTGTATCTGTACCTTTTGCTTTCAGCCTTCTCCTCCTCTAAGCTCTGGAGGACTCTGTGGGCCAGTAGCTCTTGTGCTGAGGGAGTGTGTGTGATGTCCAGCAGGGCTGTTGGTGCCTCGAGAGGCTCTACCACACTGTGGAACAACCTCTGTCTGAGGGATAGGCTGCTGGGTGGTGCATGTGCAGCTTCACTTGCCCTGAGGATGAAGGAGGATGGAGAGGGGAGTCAGGGAGAGAAATTGGAGAACGGAAAGCAAAAGTGTAGTATTGTGATAGTGTAGCTGCAATGTTGTAATACTGTGACTTGTACTTGATCGTATTTTCTTTGAAAACTATGAGTGACAGTGAAAGGAAGTCAAAAGTTGGTTTATAAGTACAATATGCAACTTTGAAATAAATAAGTACCATGTACATTAAGTGTCTGTCTATAATGAAAATGTAATTTCCCCTGATTTACTACAGTCTTAGAGATTTCTCGGTGAAACACACCAGCTAATAGATTTATTTGACCCCCCCTAACACACACTGAATGTGCCTGGTGCGTTTTGCCCTTTATACCATCTACTCTGTTTGTGTAGTAATTGCCTAACCAGCAGTGATCTTGGCCATGAATCTGAAGTGAGTTTAGTGACCTCAGGAAGTAGTAGTAGTAGAACGTACTGTGGAGCTAAACTTTGGAGGACTATTGCCCCTTTCAGAGTTGTAAGTAAACACTGTCACAGCAATATTTTGTTTCAACTGCAGATTGGCTGTATTATTTGTTTGCTTTGTTTGCTTGTACAGGGCTCTATGCTGCCTTTTTTACCTAGGAACACATGTGCTCCTAAATGATAAAAAATGAGAGGCACATAAAGAAATTTACGAGCACGAGGTCACAAGATGCACCCAGCAGTTTTAAAGTTAACATTTAAAAGAATGTTGACCGTCTTACCCTTCCCTCTCTTGCTGCTTCTCTCTGTGGGTTTGTTTGATGGCCTGGGTCCATTCCTCAGGCGGCTGGAAACCCTTCAGTGACTCTGTAGGGATGTAAACCAGGATCTCCCCACCATCCGTCACAGCATCTTCAACAAGAAAACAAAGAAAAAATTGCTCATTGTAATGCAAGTCATACATCATCAGGGGGTTCATTGCATAGGGTCTTGTTGTAAACAACAGTACAATAACCCTCCCCAAGAATGTTCTCACCTTCACAGACAGGTGGTCCGGGGATCTGCCAGTCTTTCAGCTTGTGGTCAATGCAAATTACCAGCACGTCGTCCCAAGGAATCTGACTGAAGGCTGGGCAAACATTCTCATTGCTCATGGTTATCTTGGATTTGGGGGTTCGGGTATGGTGACTCTTTAGCCTGACCCTTGCCAGAAGGTTTTCCAGCCGTGACATTAGGAGAGGCTGACTTTGGTGTGAAACTGGGATCTGAGCGGCGTAGTGAAAGATAGAGGAGCAGAGCTCAGGCCAGGAGGCTAGAAAGAGAGGGGGAGATAATAGTATAGTAAAGTAGAATACAGACATTATTGGTCTTTTGTTCATGGCATTGTACAAAATCCTCATGAGTACAAATGAAAAACATGAACATTAAGAAAAACTCTGCAGTAATTAATAGTCTCCCTGTGCACAAAACTGTTATCTCAGTCACTGACCTGTGGCAGATAGCTGCTCCCACTGTGGCAGCTGCAGGCTGAGGATGGCTTTGCATAGCCAGGCCAGATGCTGAGTAGAGTTCCAGCCCAGATGAGGGACAAAGTCACGAGTATCAGGCAGGCTGAACTCACTTGGCGGCCACGAAAGTCTGCTCAGATCCTGGGACGACACTTTATCAGCAATGTGAGCCAGGACGGTGTTGTACAGCTGGATGACAGGCGCGGGGTCCTGGGAAGGAAGACCCGCAGCAACCCGCTCCTGCCGATTGGTGTAAACTCTGGGACTGAATTCACGACTCAAACTGGCCTCTACAAGCTGCACCAGGGTCTGGCAGGAGAGCGGGAGGGGTGGTGGAGTGTGGGCAAGCAACCAACATGTAGCCTGGTTTAGCTAGAGAGATACAAGAGGAGAGGTGGGGGAGAAGTTGGAGAAGGCTTAGAGGAAATGTTTCAGAACTGTGAAACAATCTATATCAGTGATTCTGAACCTTTTTTGGCTTATGAGCCCTCACAATGAAGGAGGGTCTACAGGACTTGTTAAATCTTAGCACAGGTTGCATCATAAATTTGCACCAAAGAACAATGTTCCCCTCAAACTTCCTCTGATTGTTTCATTTGAATAATTATTAGAGGTCAAGGCGGGGCAAAACTATACACTTCACAAAAATCAAAGCTAACTTGACACAAAAGTCACATTAAAAAACAGACAAACATAAAAGAAAACTCTGTTTTACTCATTAATCATTCCACTACCCCTCAGATTTTGTTTTTCATTTTACACACTAATTCCAAATTCACTCTCCCAACACCCCCTCAACCGTCCCAACAACCCACTCCTCTAATCTCCCCCACAGTGTCAACAAGCATGCTATTGATGACTTGTTTTAAAAAAAATATCATTAATATAGGCTTTTAGTTTTTTGAGTTAAACCTGCAATAACAGATTTTTTTGGCCTCTTGGCGGCAGTGGAAACAAGTTGTGTGTACACAACATTGACACATCATCTTCTTTTAAGTAGATATGGCAAACCTGTTTGCAAACAGTTGCGTATTTACACACCCAGCTGTTATGGAGCAACATTAGCATTCATTTGGAGTTTTGTGTCTGTTCAATATTCAATCTTTGGCTCTGTTTTGATCTCCCCCAACTCCTGAGGGAAATATCTGGCTATTTAGTGGCTACATGCTCCTCTATATTCACCAGTCGTCTGGTGCTGAGCAGGTGGCGTAAAGCAGGTTTTTAGAGCTTTTTCATTAAAAAGTTGCTGGTCCAACAGCTGAACAATGAGCTGACACTTGGAATACAGTTCCATAAAGCTGAGACAATTAAACGTAAATCCAAACATAACATCACTGTTTCTATCAAATCCCAGTCCTGCTTGTGAAAGTAAAGGATATTAAACATAAAACATGAGGTGCAAAAGATAGGTATTCTTCTGTGATGTTAGTCTATGTATGGGTAATACCTTTTTGGATCCCTCTTGGTCACTTGTGGTCTCTGGTATGAAGAAGAATGTGTACTCTGATATCAGGCCTTCCTGGACCAGTGTGTGCAGCATCAGAGCTGAGGGACAAGACACATGAGAGGAATAGTTCAGGTTTCACACATTTCAACCAGATTAATTCAGCTCCTGTTTAATAACTACTGCCTGATGTAAAATGTAACTATTGCAACCACGTGCATTTTATCAATTGCTTTCTGAGCATGACTTTAATCACACAGTATACCAACTAGAAAACTATTCATGTCATTATTACTATTATTAATTACCTTCTTCAAGTTTCTGTGTATCATCAGTGCCACCCTCAGGCCCTGG